AAAATAATCAAGCACAAAAATAGCCAAAAGTCTAGGTATTTATTCCTTGTATAACATTTCAAACATAATTTTCTGTCCTGAAAAACTTCTGCTAGATTTTTCAATTATCACAAGTACATTGTACTTAGATTATACTTAACCACTACATATATTTTACTGTGATTACATTAGATTACACTGGCTTTTACTGAGACCCCTCCCAAATACCTATGAAGATTTCTTGGCAGGATTTTTACATTTTTTATATATTGAATTGTTTTAGCTTTTCTAGGGCTGGAGTGATAGCACAGCGGGTAGGGCGTTCGCCTTACAAGTGGCCAACATGGCCGACCCGAGTTCGATTCCTCTGCCCCTCTCGGAGAGCCCGGCAAGCTACCGAGAGTATTCGATATGCCAGACACAGTAACAACAAAGTCTCCAATGGAGACGTTACTGGGCCCGCTCGAGCAAATCGACGATCAACGGGAGGGCCTTTACCTTTACCTTTACCTTTACCTTTTAGCTTTTCTTATGGTGAACACACATATGTTGCCTTTTACAGATGCTTTAGGAAAGTTGATTTCTAACTATTTGCAATCAAAGATTTAGTGTGGTTTAGGAAAATACTAGTGTGGAATAGACAGAATAGGTCTAGCACTTGCTCTGGTCTCACATCCTGGGTCAGAGTGAATCATCCAGAAGATTATATAGATGCAGTTTCCAGCAGAAGCAGTTCTCCACCTAAGCCAGTGAATTCAGCTATAAAGCAAACAGGCAGCAGAGCCTTGAGGAGCATGGAATAAACTGCCCCACCATGGAGAAGTCTATAACGGAGAACACCAGCAAAGAAATACTCAGGCAACTGCATAGTCAGCCTAGCAGAAGAAGCTCAAGACCTATCAGGTCTCAAAGGAGTTTTCCAAAATTCTATTTCCCTTACACCATAATTTCAACTTCTCAGCATTCTTAAAAAAAAAACAGCAAACTACATCCATCATTCCTCACACAATAGATAAATTTTGAAGAATCGAAGAAAATGTAAAATATGGTTGACATCAAAATGACATGAATTTCCAGAGAACAGGTCATATCTCTAGGCATTACAAGTGTTACAAAAAAATATGAGTAACGACCATCTTACAGTTTCATGAATAATACAAGTTTCATTCCTTTCAAGCTGATATATGGTTTTCTTGGACACCATAACTTGAAAGAAAATGAAATCCGTAAATTACTATTCTAGCATTTCTATTCATGTAACTTCTTCATTATAATGAAAAGGATTTAAACATTAATTAAAATCTTTTTCATGCTAATAAAACATGAAAGAGAAGGTGTAAAAAGGACACACTTTTTCTATTTGAATTTATGTTTTTCTATTTTAACAAGTGATATAAATCCTACATTAACTGTGTACATACTCAGTGTCAAGCACTCCTCTAAGTTCTTTCTAAGTAATCTCAGTTTAATTCTCACACAACACTATTATCCACGTATTAGAAATAAAGAAAATTGAGGCAATGAGAGGGTAAGTGATATGTGCAAAGTAAGTTGCAAAACTAGGATTGAACATCATAAATCTGACCCCTGGTGCTTAAATACTGAGTCTGAGTCATTTATATCATCATATGCCATAACAATAAAAATAAGTATCACTTTTTTCTAAATGAATATTAATTTCTATTAAGACTTAACTAGTATGTAATATTTTTTCAGAAATTACAGAAAACACTCACCACATAATTCAAATACTGAACTTATCTTTTTAATTAAGCAATGCCGATTTCTATTAAAGTAGAAAGACTTTACCTAATATAAAATAATTTTTCATTTACAAAAAGTAATCTATGTACTAGCACTGTAGCACTATCCTCTTGTTGTTCATCGATTTGATCAAGCGGGCACCAGTAACATCTCCATTGTGAGACTTGTTACTATTTTTGGCATATCGAATACTCCACAGGGAGCTTGCCAGGCTCTGCCATGTGGGCGGGATACTCTCTATGTACTAAAACAGATAAATAAGAACTAAAGAGACTGACATTTCTAAAAGCATGGCTTTAGTGATAGGATTACAAATCACTGGCTTCAGAGTCCTGTATTGTAAAATATACAGAATTTTTCCTTTTACAGCAATTTATTCCTATGACCTAGAAGCCTTTCATCAGAACAGATTGACAAGACTCCACTGAAATCATCTTGCATTTTTTATCTCTTGGTGTCCATACTTTGTAAATCATGTTGTCTCAAGGATAAAACTTTAACTTCTGGTAGCACATTTGTCATTTGTCAAATGGAATTGCTCTATTCTGTGTCTATTGAGTTTGCTAAAAATTCATGGGCTAGGAACCAGAAGGATAGTACATCGGGTAGGGTGTTAGCTTTGCACCAGGCAGATCTGGGTTAGATCCCCGACATTCAAAATGGTCTCCCAAGCACCGCAAGGAGTAATTCCTGAATGCAGAGCCAGGAGTAACTCCTGAGCATTGCTGAGTATGACACCTCCCCCCATAAAAAAAGGTAAAAAAAGAAAATCTTCATGGACTAATTTTTTTCATGAAATTATATCTGCAAAGTTCAATATATCTTTTAAAAACTTTCATTAGACTTTCTTTAACAAATAACTTTATGATGTTGACTCTCTTGACAGACCCTAGCATTCAATTTCTTTCTGTTCCTAGTACCAGAACAAAACTGCCACATTTCTGCTCATTCCAGATTCAAAGCTGTCATAATCTGCTGTTACATTTTTCTGAATGTGCTCAAGCTGTCAAAATGTTTGCTATATCTACCAAAATGTGCCCAATTCATTTGGGGTATTGGACATGAGCAGTACCAAAATTTATGAAGATTAAAATAGAAAACTGTAAGATAGAGCATGCTAGTGAATATGATAGAATTATAGAAAATTATTGCTATTACTGGTACGTTATCAATATAGGTAGACTTTTAACCTCTATAAAACAGAGTGTAGGGATGCAACGATAGCACAGCGGGTAGGGCGTTTGCCTTGCACGTGGCCGACCTGGTTCGATTCCCAGCATCCCATGTGATCCCCCGAGCACCACCAGGAGTAATTCCTGAGTGCAAAGCCAGGAGTAACCCCTGTGCATCGCTGGGTGTGACCCAAAAAACAAAAACAAACAAAAAAAAAGTGCAGCAAGAAATTTTGCTAATAAAAGATCAAAATCAAAATTTGTGTCAACGACAGGTCAATATAATTGTTCAATTTCTTCCTGCTTTATTGGCTTCAAAGTGTTATTCTAAAATATTCTACCTGTTTGAAATTAATGCAAATACTTACAGCTCTGGGGAATTTTCTGAAGCCCAGAGACTATATTTTAATAAATACAATTAAGTAGAATATATATATACACATATATTCATGCCTACCTAGGTTCCTCATCTTGGAATAAAACTCAATCCTATCCACATGAGACAATGAAACTTACATATCTATCTATCTATCTACCTATCTATCTATCTGTGCATATATGTGTGTGTTATGTGTGTTAGGTAAAGCTACAGAATTACAAATTATTTAAATTAGAAAGAAAAATTATTGATTTGTATCAAGTTTCTAACGTTTATTTGTTACATAGGAGTAGAATAGAAACTTATCTAGTACTGCTTTAGTTTACAAAGAGAAAACGGTACTGACTCCTCACATGGAAATTTGAGCAATGAACTGCCAAAATATGGTTTGAAAATGAGCTCTGCCACTTGGGATGGCAGAATAAAGATTTTGCAGAAGTGTGGTTTGCATTTCCATGTGACATATATTTGATTTCCACGTGACATGCAAAAATTTTAATTACTGGAACTCACTTTAGAAATTATGCTGTTCCCATTCAGAGCCATACTTTTGATTTTCCAAAACTATTTTAATCCCTAAGAAAAACTTTGTCCAAAAATTAATTTTTCTTCTTCTATGGCAGTCATGATATAGAACTATGTGTAGGGCACTTGTCTCGCATAAGGCTGACCTGGGTTTCATTGCTGCCACCCCACATGGTCCCTAGAGCACCTTCATGAGTGATCACCGAGGGCAGAGCCAGGAGTAAGCTCAGAGCACCACCAGCCATGTTCCAAACTATGAACCTCCACCCCACCCCCACCCAGCCCTCCCAACACAACTGTACTAAAATTCTATGGTAATCGTATTCAATGACAACAATTTCACTAAACAACTCATAGAGGCCAGGAAGTGAGCACTGCACTGAAGCATTTGCTCTGCATATGAATGAAGGAAATTTAATAATGGACAAAAGGTTCCAAGGCATCACAAAACATAACACTGGAGGTCTCCTGAAAACTGTCAGGTGTGATCTTAAATGCCCTGAGCACTATGGGATGGCCCAGTAATCTCTGGCACCACAGCACCTCAGCAGTTTGGAATTGTTGGGTCTTCTCATAACACCTCTAGCCAACCCAGACAGAGGCAGTCTCCTGGACATCCTGCGGACACTTAGGAGACAAAATAATAAAAATAATAATAAATAAATAATAATAATAACAACTCGGGGATAAAGTTACTCCTTGGTTAAATCCAAGTCTGAACTTTGATGGTGACATGAACAATACAAAACACACACCAAATTGTGAAACTAAACCCTTGAAATTTTTTCAAGTTTTAAAACTGATAGTTAAATAGTTTAATTATATAGTTTATAAAGCACACTGTAGCACTGTCCTCCCGTTGTTCATCTATTTGCTCGAGCGGGCACCAGTAACGTCTCCATTATGAGACTTGTTACTGTTTTTGGCATATCGAATATGGGGAGCTTGCTAGACTTTGCCGTGAGGGCAGGATACTCTCAGTAGCTTACCGGGCTCTCTGAGAGGGGCGGAGGAATTGAACCCGGGTCAGCCATATAGTTTAATTATATAAGCCTGATAATATTTTTTTATTTTCCTATCTTCATAATCAAATGTGTAAACTATTTTAAAACAAAAAAATCTATTTGGTACTAGACTCCATGAATAACTCAGACTCTTCAGTAAACAAGATTAATGCTTACCTCAAAGACCTTCTGAATATTGACCAAGTCATCCACGCTGAGGCAGTTTACAAGTAGTCCAATACCATAGTCCTCCTCTGCGCTGGCCGCGTCCTTTTCCTCCAAGCTCTCGGGTCCAGTTTGGAACTCCATGTTTAACTTAAGGACGTTACTCATCCTCACTTCACCTCTCTTCAACAGCATTCAGCTAGATCTATGCCTTCTTCTTACTTCTTCATCTGGTGCCTTTAAAAAGAAACTCAACTTATAAATAGAATTTAAATAAATGTATGAAGGTATTGCTTGCTCTTTGAACCTTTGTTCTCCTTTGCATACATATCTTGCGTGCTTGTGTCTGTTTCTCTGCTTGCCTATTTTCACTCTGGAAAAGCCTATGTTCTCTCTTAAATACCTACTTCTCTTTCTCTCTCCTGACATTTTTCTAAATAAGTTTGTATACAGATATATAAGTGATTATATATAAGTATTATGACTGATTCAAGGTATATAATTTTAGTTTGTTTGGGGGTCACACCAGAAGTGCTCATGGCTTACTCCTGCCTCTGAGCTCAATGATCAATCCTGACATCGTAGGGGGATTCCCTGGGGTGCCAGGGATGAAACCTGGGTTCGCTGCATGCAAAGCAAGTGCCCTACCCACTGTACTATGACCAAGGTCCAAGGCATAGAATTAAGAGGCTAAAAGGTTCAAGCCCAGACGCAGGGAACATAAACCCTCAAATCCCACACTTCCTTCATTTCACTGTACATTACCAAAATCTGGAGTTGAATTCTTCAAAACCACCCCTCCTTTATACTTTGTTTGCCCAGGCTTGTTTTTAAAAAATAAAAGTGAAAAATTCCCCTCTGTTGATAGTGACCAGCATAGAATATAGCTTCTAGTTTCCATTTGAAGTGCATTAGAAAAGCAACTTCTCAAAAGATTTTTGGCTAAACTTTCTTCTATTAACATGTTACAGACTTAAACTCTATTTCATGTCTTACCTGGAGCTGTGAGGAGAGATAGAGTCACCATTTCCTCCCAGTGAAGGAGGTTCTTGCTTCTGAAGGGCACCTTCTTAGCAATGTGGGGTTGTTTTGTTTTGTTTCATTTATGTCGGCTGCTTTTGTAGGTTTCCTAGCAACCAACATAAAGCCAACTAAACTTTTTTTTCCTTCCTCCTCTCAACTCACAACTCATGACTGACCTGAAGTTTTGAATATTTCGCATAAATATTGAGGGTATTTTTAAAGAAAAATTCAATCATTTCTTTTCATTTTTTTATTGAATCACCATAAATAACTTATAAAGATACTTATGATTGAGTCAGGCATATGCTGGTTTTTTTTTTTTTTTTTTTTTTTTTGCTTTTTTTGGGTCACACCTGGCGATGCACAGTTACCCCTGGCTCTGCACTAAGGAGTTACTCCTTGCGGTGCTCAGGGGACCTTATGGGATGCTGGGAATCGAACCCGGGTCGGCCGCATGCAAGGCAAACGTCCTACCTGCTGTGCTATCTCTCCAGCCCCAGGCATATGCTGTTTTGACACCAGTTTCCTCAGCATTGTCTATGACCCTCGTCCAACTTTCCCAGCTACCTCCTGTCCGCTAGCCTCTGTGGCCGGCACTTGTCCCCTCTAATGTTTTCCTAATGTCCCCTTCCCTAACTTCCCACACATCCACCCCAGTGTCAAGCTTCCTACTGAGGACCAGTTCCCTCTTTGTTTCTATTGCATTTGGACATTTGATATTCCCCAAGAAGTGTCTTCATATTCCACATATGAGTCACTTATTTCTTAATAAAAATTTATTACTATATTATTTTGAAGTCAAGAGACAAATATGTAACATGTGTGCATCTTAAAGAAAATGTACATATATAATTACAGTACACACTACAGACATTAGAGGAAATATATATGTGTGTATATATTCATATGTCAGTAGGATGAAGAAATATATTTATATAAGTGTAGGTGTATATATGTAGTATGAAATACTATGATTAACCCACAATGTCCAAAGTAAGATCATCTGGAAAGTTCTATTTTCCACACAGAAAATATTTTATTTTCACATAATAAAAGGCCGTGCTTTATATTTATAAGATAAATATAAAAAATATAAAAATATAAAAAGAAAACTAAGAGTTTTTCTGTACATGGTGAAAGTTTAAAATAAATGAATTCTTTTTAAATTTGGGGATTTTGTTTGTTTTGGGGCTACACCCAGCTGTGCTCAGGGCTTACTTCTGGTTCTATATTCAGAGATCCCTCCAGAGATCGCTTCAGAGATATTCAGAGGATCTTGAGAAACCACATGAGGTGCTGGAGATCAAACTAGGGTCAGCAGTTGCAAGAAAAGTTCCCTTAGCTCTCCAGTTCCCCTAAAATAAAGTTTTAGACTCATTGAAAATATGTTGGAAAAACAGCATAACACAAAATAAACTCGTGGTTAAATTATTCATGATACCCTCAGTGATTCAGCTAATTAAAAAAAATTAAAGAAGGAAATTTCACTTTTATAGTATCTAATACACTCCAGATGCCATGTAAAGGTAAAGGTAAAGCCCCCCCCGTTGTTCATCGATTTGCTCGAGCAGGCCCGGTAACGTCTCCATTGGAGATTTTGTTGTTACTGTGTTTGGCATATCGAATACAACACGGGTGGCTTGCCAGGCTCTGCCGTGTGGGTGAGATACTCTCGGTAGCTTGCTGGGCTCTCCGAGAGGGGCGGAGGAATCGAACTCGGGTCGGCCATGTTGGCTGCGTGCAAGGCAAACGCCCTACTGCTATGCTATCGCTCCAGCCCTGTAAAAAAGAAAGATGAACAAATAAAAACATTATGAAATATATTTTTCACAATTAGAATCACTGTATCACTGTCCTCCCATTGTTCATCGATTTTCTTTAGTGGGCCCAGTAAGTCTCCAGTTTGAGACTTGTTGTTACTGTGTTTGGCATATCGAGTATGTCACGGGTAGCTTGCCAGGCTCTGCTGTGCAGGTGAGATACTCTCGGTAGCTTGCCGGGCTCTCCGAAAGGGGCGGAGGAATAAAACTCGGGACGGCCATGTTGGCTGCGTGCAAAGCAAATGCCCTACCGCTGTGCTATCGCTCCATGTAAAGCATTGTATATAATTTATCTTGCTTAAGTGTGACAGTAACCCTACAAAGTGAAGAGATCGCTTTCACCACTTCAGAGAAGAGCAAATAAAACATCAAATGTCACAGTGAGAGGTGTGAAATGTAAATTTGGAAGCTGTGCAATAGATGTATGCCCTCTAAGACCCTTCTTTTCATCTATGCAAAATGGAATCATTCTCACTAGATACTCTCTAAGGTCACTTTCAGCTCTCGCATTCTATTAGTTGGTAGTCATAAGACACCTGGCAATAACGCATTTCCTATTGCACAAAGAAGAGAGCATCTTGGCAAGCAACCCTGTACTTATTTGAAAAAAAGTATTCTGTTATACATCTATTAGTTCCCCTTGCTTGGAAAAAAAAATGTATTCTGCTATACATCTATTAATTCCCCTTGTTTGAAAAAAAAGTATTTTGCTATACATTTATTATAGCATCACTGTCTACAATTTACAATTCATTCTCAAGACCATTTATGAGCCTGCTATATATCAAGTCCTGATTAGACCTAGGCCTGCTTCTGAGGGGTTCACAGTTTACAAGAACAATTACCTTTCTCCTTCTTTCATGCCAATCCCAACCTCTTACTCTTGATAACAATGTGTTGAGAAGGATTCTGAAGGACTGTGTGGCTCAAAGGAACAGTGACGTTATAGATGATATCTGTGCCACATAGGCACAGAGGGCAGAGGGAACATGTTTACCACAAATTTACTTTTCTGACAATCATTTAATGTAAGTAAGATGTTTTTTAAACCCTGATATTTCAAATTCCCTTAAAAAAATCTCACATGGGAACAAAATGTGTCTACTTACCACCCTAATTAATAAGGAATAGCTTAGATGAGTTGGATCAGTTCCATAAACATTTGCTAGATGTTTTATATTATATGCAGAGATCTGGACTTAGCTGATTAGCAGACACTAATGAGGCAAAGAAGAGGAAATAGAAAAAAAAACACTGTGTAAAACTGCCCCAGGAAAGGGAAGTAGCCCACAGGCAGATTATGTGAAATTCTCTAATTATTCTAAGACAGTAAGTGACCTGACCTAGTTAGCTTAGTTCCCATAAAGATGCAAATCTATAGGTTTTGCATTAGTTAAGAAATAGAAAAGTATAATAAGGAATTAACAAGTTATTATAAAAGTTGACCAATTGGCACTGTTGATTTCTGTAAAATTAGAAATTATTCTTAATCATACAGTTTTAAATTGTGTTAATATTCTTTGTGAGGCTAATTTTCAGATTAAACTTCTGTAAAATCCATAAATAACCCTTGACTCTACTGAATTTTACCTTTGTCACTGTTCCTGGGTGTCACAGGCTCACCTGTGTGACCCTGAGTTCCCCTTGTACATTTGGGGATGAGCACAGTCCCCCCTGGTGGGCAGATGGCAGCAGACTAACAAAGAACTGGAGTATAGGACATTTGGAACTAGTGGCTACTTAATCAAGTCTCCCAGTTTTAGTTAGAATCATGAAGGGCTGGGGCTACAAATAAACAGGTGTGGTTGAACATTATCATAAGCAATGAACAGATGTAAAGTTCTTCCTTCAGGGGAAGTTCTAGAAGATTTACTCAAGGACAAAATCTCATGAAAGGGCTCAGAAGCCTAGATCCCTGCAAGGGCAGAATTCTATCTAAGAGTATATTGCTTTCTCCTTCCCTTTGCTAGTAATCCATTTAAACAGTCATCTTAAATTTACTTCTTAATAATATTTGTAGTAATTTTGTATGGAAACAGTAAGAGACATATTAAACTTAAAGGGTGGCTCTTGGTGGGGATCTCGCGATATATCCCAGACTCCAGTTCTCAGGCCAAGTTCGTCTTTCCTAACCTCAGCAGGGTCCTTATCCAATTATTTCTTTTTGAGTCACCACAAAGTTTGTTCCATGACCATGCTCTTAACTTATTATACTTCTTATGGCATTTATCCTGTACCTTTTTGATGCCAGGATAAGTTATGGCTTGCCCTGGATCCATCTGTGTCCCTCGCTGGGACCCCCCTCCCCTCTTTTGGGGTATTAGG